GTACAGTAATAGACAAATCAAGCTTTTCTAAATTCGACATTCGATGTAAAAGTGGCACAACTAATTCATCATAAACAGTTGTTATCGTCTTACAGTGTAGACAAAAGCATTTTAAACTAGGTAGTTCTTTCTACAAAAAAATAATATTATTATTTGATTTAAACTAGATATCAAAATAAACTCTACCGTATTGTTAACAGTTCTATCCGAAGAGAAAATCATACAAACATCAACATAAAATGAACGAAGTTGATTGAAATGTCCATCAAGTAAATAAAGACAATCATCAAAAATATGCAAAGAGACATGTAATTCTAACAAATTTGTAGAGATAACAGTTGAACGTCTCATACAAAAGAATAATCGATCATCGTAAATTGAAGATCGACCAAAATTTAAATATTGTAAATTAGTGAACATAGTCAGGATATGATTAAATATAATTGCATTATTGTCTCGTTTATACCAATCTGTTCCGTTTGTACTAATGTCGATAGTAAATGATAAAAGTTGATTTTTCAAAGTATGAATTACGGAAGTTTGTTCTAAACAATGATAAAGTATTAAAAATTTATTGATTTTATTCTAAATTTTCTTTTTCAAAAATTTGTTGAAACTTTAAATTAGAGACTACATGTAGATCTTTCATTTTTGTATAAGTACTTAAACTTCATGGAAAATCATCCCTTTCATGATAATCTTCTTCTCTTCATACTAACAAATCCAAATACAGTGAAATTATTTTGAATTTAGTAATATCTATAATAATTATCTTTGATTGAAAGAACAAAAGTATCTTACCCGTAAAAAGATCTATAGCTGTTTTTGCTTCAATATTATGTAAACTAATGCCATACAAATTCGGAAAATTTGTAGCACGAAGAATGCGTTCCATTGATCGTGATTGAAGATGAAGCCATTCAATATTTTGATGAATTTTAGGTAAAATATATAAACAAAATCGATCAAGTATTGGATCAGATAATGAATAAACCAAACCATCCGATGTAGACATCACAAGAGATAAATTATTTGTAAAAACGGGATCAACTGCAATATTATTTAGTCGTTTATTGACGCCTAATAAAGAATAAAGTACTTCTGCGTTAGTCAAATTTTTTAAAATAATCAAAAGAATTTCATCGGGTAGATCATTCAATTGAACACATGAATATTTCATGTTCATCTATATCTGTATCTAGTGTGCACATGTTCTAAATGTCAGTATTTATATAGATACGCTCGAAGGTTTTATTTGACCGATGTCGTCTGTATAAAAAATGACACATTTTTGTATAATCTAAATGAACGACGAATGAATTGATAATTCATCGAATAATATTCTTTTTCTCACTTTCTTCGAACACATGGAGAGTCATATGAAAAAAATGCACTTGTATATAATCAAAAATTGGCCTAAATATAATGGAATTAATTTTTTTTAAAGAATACTTCTTCATCAAAGTAACTTTCATTCAGATGAACAAGATTGAAAAAAGCTGGAAAAAGTTTGAGTTTATATCGATCCGGTTGAATTTTTTTATCAAGTGAATAATAATTTCGACAAATTAATTTCAAATCAGCAATTTTTAATAATCTATAACAGAATATGAGACAAGAAAACAATCACATACTTTACTTTGGAACAAATGAATTCTTCAAATGAAAAGATTCACATGAAGTTGTTAGTGCATGTTTGATTTCAATTGTTATTAATTTATCGGTTAACGGATGTTTAGCAGACGCAAGTTTTTCCTAAAATATAAACAGAAAAAATTTAATGTTTTAACTCTTTCGCTATGATCCGATTTTCATAGAAAATCAGATTTCGAAATACCTTTTATTAGAAAACAAAATACACCACAAGATGCAGCGTGAAAAGCTCTACAATCTACACCGTAAAACCTACTTC